GGCTGGCGCCCAGGCATCTGAGTGTTCCAGAGCCCCAGGTCTCTAAGTCCCTACTAAGGCTGAGAACCACCAGAGCCACTCAACACAGCTGGAGAAAGAGGTACCCAGAGAAGCAAAGGTCACACCAAGAGCTGATAGCAAACACAGCTGAGCATGGGGACAGGGAACCAACCAGTGACAGCCATGTATGGTCCCTACCCCTGCTGGGGTAGTCTTCTTTCCAGGCTGTACACAGATAGTCTTATCTGTGAGCTCTAATTTATAAGTCCCAGTGTGGACCCATAGAATTACCACATGCTTTTAGGATAGAGACCCGGGCTGAAAACCTAGAAGTGCTGGGCCAGCAAGATGGCTCAATGAGTAAAATCACTTGCCATTGCTGCACTGATGACCTGAATTCAATCTCAAAAACCCATTGTGGAAGGAAAGAACCAACTCCCAACAATTGTTCCCTGACCCTTACACACCTACACACTAATAATAATAAATAAAAGACTTTTTCTGAGAAGGGTACATGTCAGGCTAACACGTAGCCAGTGCATGGAAAACAGAAAGGTGCAGGCACCTTGTACATTGTAATTCTGGCTGCTAGGCAGGCTAAAGCAGTAGGACCAAAAGTCAAGGCCATCCTTGGCAACTTATAAGTTCAAAGCCAGCCGATACAATTTAGTGAGACCATGTTAAACACAAAATAAACTTGGTTGGATGTGGAGGGAAGGGGAGCCACCATGAAAGTAGAGACATCCATGGCAGTAAGAGAACACTCAGAGTATCTGAAGGCACTCTTCTCATGGATTAAATAACCATTTCCTGTTAGTTGAGCCATTAGTGAGGCACCTGGTAAATGTACTGCTCACAAACCTCACAGCTACGCTGAAAGTTCAGCGATTATAGTTTTGTTTGTTTGTTTGGTTGGTTGGTTGATTTTGTTTTTGTTTTTCAAGACAGGGTTTCTCTGTGTAGCTTTGTAGACCAGGCTAGCCTCAAACTCACAGAGATCCACCTGCCTCTGCCTCCAGAGTGCTGGGATTAAAGGCATGCACCACCACTGCCTGGCCTAGCAATTATGATTTTTAAATGAAATATTTATTTACTGTCATTCTGAGAATCAAACCCAGAGCCTTTCACACACTAAGCAAGGGTTCTACCACTAGGCTGTATCTTCAACCCTTGGAGATCTTGTTTTGATTTTGTTGTTATTGCTGTTATTGAGACAGGCTCTCATTATGTAGTCCAGGCAGGCCCCAAACTTGCAATTCCCCTGCCTCGGCCTCTGTATGCATACTATGTGCATACTTTCTGTTTTACATCTGTGTGTCCCCAGCTCCCACCATAGAGCCTGGCCCTTTGCAGGTGCCTGACAAATTCAGGGACATAGTATAACACTTCTGTGACATCAGAGATGTCCCAGGCCACCAGAGTCAAGGGTGTGGGAGTAACTTTGACTTCACTGCCTATAGAAAATTATTGATGGTTTGAGCCCCTGAGCTGGGCTCAGCATGCCAATAAGTACTCAGTAAAAGGAGGCAGGATGATGGGCAGCCCTGCTCAGCATGGGCAAGAGTCAGAGCCCGGAATCAGAACAAGAGAGCCCTGTCAGGTGTTCCTTGGGTGCTGCCCATGTGACTTCAAGCCCTCTCTTTGCCTGTGTGAAGCCCATCTATCCTCTCTGGACAGAGGAGTTAGGTCATGGTTTCTAAGCACTTAATGTAGAAACTTGCTAGGTCCTGGAGCCTCCAACTATTACCTCCTGAGAGAAATTATGGTGATTATGATCTCTGTGGGAAGTTGAATATTATTTCATTTCCATGGACAGTGCATACAGCAGGTTTTGGGAGTCTGTAGGGCAGGCTGTGTGGCTGTGTACACCTTGGGGTCCTGCAGTGTCATTTCCCGGGTCCTGGGTCCTATTTCATGTGCTGCCTCCCCATGCTGAATAAATAAACCAGGGCCTCTTCCTCCTGGAGACTGGAGAGCCCATGGGGCTAAGGACTTCAAAGGTGACAGCAGGGGTGCTGGAGTCCCCGCTCAGAGTGTGTTAATATGACATTTAAGACCCAGGTGACCCAAGCAAGCAGCAGCCACCTGCACACTGTGGACCCCCCTTTCCTGTGACTTTTACACTCCTCTTTCCATGAAGTCTGGGAAGCAGGCGGAAGTGTGGCCTGGGAGAGTCTCCAGTCTGCCTCCTGAATGCTTACAAGGGATGATCAGGACTTCTGTACTTCCGCAAACTCAATCTAGGCCTGAGCCCAGGCTCTGTCTCCCTGGGGCCCCCTTAGGTTCCCTTTATAAGCTCTGGGAACTTGGCTGGCGGGAGTCTGCAGCTTTGGGGACCCACCTGCACCTTGGTGGGTCTTAGAGCAGTAGACATGTTCCTCTAGTGGTGACCCATGGAGACAGCCACTCTGTAGCCAGACACAGCTGTCACTCAGGGATCCCATCAAGACACCATAGTCAGGAAGAGCAAGGGCTGTGGCCAGAGGTTTCTGTCCTGCCTGGTCCCACAGCCATTCAGTCCCAAATAAACACACAGAGGCTTCTATTAATTATAAACTGTTTAGCCAATGGCTCAGGCTTCTTATTGGCTAGCTCTCTCTTATTAACCCATTTCTTTTAAATTATGTATTTCCACAAGGCCATGACTTACCCATAATGCTCCAGCATGTTACTCCTTCAGTGGCTCAATGGCATCTATCCCTCAACTCACTCTCTGTGTTCCTCCTTCAAGCCTTCTTGCAGTCTGGTAGTCCCGCCTATACTTCCTGCCTGGCTACATCCTGCCTGTCCATTGGCCAAAACAGCTTTATTCATCAACCAATAAAATAAACATATATTCACAGCATACAGAAGGATATCATCCCCCATCAAGGAGCCATGAGAAAAGCCCACATTTTGAACTGAACTCCATTCCTAGTGCCACTGGGGCCTTAGAGAAGACATGGCCAACTCAAGACTTAGTTTTATTGTCAGTGAAGTAACACTAAGAGTCCCTTCACCACACACTGAAGGTACCAGACAGAATAGAAAGAGAGGAGCCTACACCTAGCCACTGTTGATCATTTTCTGTTACTGTAACAAAATACCTGAGGCTAAGTATTTGCTAAAGTAAAGAGGCTTGCTTAGCACACATTTTAGCAGCTGCCCTTCCATCAACTCACTCTCAGAGGAAGAAACCACAACCCCTTTTGAATGGCATCCATGTGACCCAAATTCTCCCACCAGGCCTCTTCTTAAAGGTCCCGCCACCTTGACACTGTCACACGGAAACAAGATTCTAGCACACAAACCTCTAGGGATACACTCAAATCATATCAACAGCGAGACTCTGTAAATACCTGTGGCTCCTGCCTGCCTGCCCCCAACCCTACAAGGCCTGCTTTGCCCTGAGGGCTCCATTCTGTAACCCCTGACCCCTTGCCACCTGCCCTTTCTATATGATACCACCTTCCTCTAACGCTGTTTCATTGCTGCTCACTGGCATCTGCCAGGCACGAAATCCAAAGCCCTAACTCAAAGCGTTGCTTAGACAAGTCTCTCGGTGTCGTGTGACATGGCTAGTCAGCTCCATGGTCACATTTCCCCTTCCCCTGGGTGCTAAGATGCTTCTACTGGTGGCATCTGACTGCTGGAGAGGACTCATGGTTTCTAAGCACTTAATGTAGAAACTTGCTAGGTCCTGGAGCCTCCAACTATTACCTCCTGAGAGAAAGTATGGTGATTATGATCTCTGTGGGAGATCTCCTCCGTCCAGAGAGGATAGATGGGCTTCACACAGGCAAAGAGAGGGCTTGAAGTCACACGGACAGCACCCAAGGAACACCTGACAGGGCTCTCCTGTTCTGATTCCGGGCTCTGACTCTTGCCCATGCTGAGTCCCTCCTTTGTTCTCTGCCTGTTGCTAAAGGTTGGTACTCCCCAGTGCTGTACTCGATCCCTCCATCTTGATGGGATCTCCCTGGGGTCTCATATCTGCCTGCTAGGATGAGACGCCCTGCCTCACCTTTGCCCTGGGCTCCATACCCATGGATGTCTTCATCTAGGTGATCCACTGGGCAGCTCAGCCTCAAGACATCCAATGTGTGACCTCTTCCTGTATCCCCCACTCATAAAATTGCATCTTAAGGTCTCTATCATCCACCCCAGAATCCTGGGTACCTGGCTTGTTCCCTCTCATCTGCCATTTGTCACCCAGTATCTTATGTTACTTGGGGAAAGTAAACCTTCTTCCTGACACCTTCCTAAGCCAGTCATTGCCATCTTTCTCCTTGACAATGGCCTATATAGTGAACTAAAGCCAAGATACAGTAAGGAGGATGGAGGCATACAGAATTGACCAATGACGTGGGAGAAACACTGAACAGACATGCAGGGAAACAAAAGCTGTGGGGTAGTGCTCAATATGGCTCGACAAAGCAGCATGGCTTCTGAGCCATCCAAGTTCCACCTCAGGATGCACTCGAAGGATAATCCCATCCAGAATGAAGGAAGAGGTGGTCCCCACTACCTACAGCTGATGGAATGAATGCCTGCAGTGCTGTGGGATCCTCACTTACCAGGGATTTCAGGAGATTGTGGGTACAGCCCGGGGGAACTAGAATAAAGTTCAGAGGAGCTGGGGACCGGCATCAAGGGAATGGTCTGTCTGTGCCCTTTGTCTCCTGCAATGTCCTGGGGCAGAGGGAGAAATAGTCCATGCTGTCCTGAAGTAAAGCCAGTTGAGCGAGGGAAGTCTCAAGGGAGAGTTCTGATCCCTGAGCAGGAGGAAGGCGTGATCAGGCGGAGCCAGTTCTAGAGAAAATGAGCCTCCCATCCTTGAGGTGTGCGGCACAGGGTGGACACCCTGCCGAGGATCCAGCCCAGGATGGTTACAAGCTTTGTGATCCTAACTGGAGTAGGCGTTAGAAGAAGGGAGATGTGCATACAGCCAGGGTCCATGAGAGCCCCAGACACAAGCCTGGGATCCCAGCTGACTGGCCACTGTCTCTTGTTCTCCACAGACAGCAGAGAAGTGAAGGTGGGCGAGTACAACGCAGTGGCTGACACACTGGAGATCATCAATGATACCATCAGGTTCCAGGGTAAGGCTTGCAGGCTTCCTGAAGGGCACCACGCATGAGAGATGCTCAGAGTCTTTGGCTTTGTGAGGTCAAGAGAGCATCCTTGACACAACTACTCACTCACTGAGCACAGACTCCCACTCACTCTGTGAGGTCCAGGTCCAGGGGGTGGACCTGTGGAATTTGGGAGCTAATAGCTTCCTTTTCTTTGCTTCTGGTCTTTTGTCTTTTGTTTCTGCCTCTCCCATGACCACCATTGCTTTACATTGAAAGGGACCATGAGTCCCTTTCTGGGTCCTATTTCTCTCTAAATTCCTGTTGTCAGCCAGGATCTGGCATGTTGGAAGCTTGATGATAGTTAATGAAAAACCTAAAACATCAAGTGGATGTCTGGGTAAATGGATACACAGATGTATGGGTGAGTAGGTCGGTAAATAGATGAGTGCATGGATATGGATGAATGTGTGGGCTGGTGGATAAGTGGATGGATGGATGGATAAATGAATAGGTTGGTGAATGGTGACTGGGTATATAAGTAGATAGGACAGATAAAAGCCTGGAAATTGGTTGGGTGGGTGTGTAGATGGGAGGATGGATGGATATATATGGATAAATGGATGGATGCATGAATACATGAATAACTGGATGCATAGATGGATACATGGGTGAATGTAATATGCAAGCATGGGTATATGGATAGCATGCATGCATATATGCGTACAGTATGGATGAATAATTGCTGGCTGAATACTTGGATGGCTGTACAGCGACATGGAGGGATGCATGGATAGGTAGATTGGATGAACGGCTAGTCTCTGGATATCCCTGGAGGAAACTGGAAGTCTGTGGCACCCAGACAGTTTTTACTTAGATCGTATTAGGTCATCCGGAATTTTTCTGTGCCTGGAGTTAATCATTAAACCCAAGACCACCAGACAGAACTCTTTTATGGTGCCTTTGGTTGGACTTTGTCCTGTCCGTCTATGCACTGGATCCATAGACATCAGCTTCTAGAACATTGCAGATTCAGTTAGCGTCTGTCCACTTGTGTCACCTGAGTGTGTCCTCCATTGTGAACCATCCTCCCTAGCATACTTGAGGGAGCCAACACCAGGCACATAGTGGCATGTTATAGTTCACCCACCCACTAAACATGAATGGACCTGTCCTTTTGTACATTTAAGAAAACAGCTCAGGCCAGGCAGTGGTAGCACACACCTTTAATCCCAGCACTTGGGAGACAGAGGCAGGTAGATCTCTATGAGTGCAAGGCCAGCCTGGTCCACAGAGTGAGTTCCAGAACACCCTGTCTGGAAAAAGAAAAAAGAAAAAAGAAAGCAAAGAGGTCAGAAATGCTGTTGCCCCGAATCCACACAGCCTGTGAAGGACACAACCTGTCCTAACCTCCAGAGTCCTGATCTTCCTAAGAGACCTGTCTGCTCTTGGACTGAGGAGAGGGGGGATTTTGGAATAAGGATTCTGGGTACTGAGCTCCTGGTAGGGTACTGGCCCAGCACGCAGGAGGCCCAGACTCTATCCCCAGCACTGGAGAAGGGGTCAAAATAAAGACACAGCCTAACAGCAAAACATGTTTTCTCTGTGGTCCCAGTGTTCAGAGCAGGTTTTGCTCTGTGCTGTGGCACTAAGGGCTTCCATGAAGGGGCCCTCTCTGCAGTTCCCCATCTCCTCTCAGACGTCTGCCTGGCCAAACCGTCTCAGTTTCTCCAGTGTTAGAACACCTTGGTGTCCATCCTCATGTTGTATCCCAGGCTTCCTTCTCGTCTGGTGACAGCCAGCCATTCTTCTCACCCTCCAACAGTTGCCTCCCAGTCCCCACTCTAGAGAGCATCTCCTGACTCCATTCTGGGGAGCTGTTCTCTCTTGCCTGCTGAGGACTCAGGCTATCCTATGCCTGAGACTAGCCCAACCCTGGGCAGTATCCACAGGAGCTGTTTGCATAGTGGAAGCTTTAGAGTCAGGCATATCTGACACCCAGTCCTGCCAGCAAGCCACTCTAACTCTAGAAGCCACAAGACACCTAGAAGACTGTTCAGCCCACCACCCATAAGGGTGCTAGATGAGCCAAGTGAGAAGGGTCTAATATTCATATTTTATTTATAGTGTGTAGATAGGCCGAGTGTCCATACATTAAAGCTCCATCTGTTCATCCCTCTTGTCTCCACACCATCCTGCAGCCAGCACTCGGAAGTTGGTGTGGCCTCATATTACTCTGTTCTTTCCCCAAGGCTGCATGCATGCTCTCCACCCCCGAGGGCAGAGACTGTATGTTGTTCATTATGTATCCTTAATGTCCAGCGTCAGGCCTGACTGACGGGAGGTGATTATCAATGGTGGGTGGATGAGTGAGGAATGAATGAAAATAAAATTCAGGGATGCTTCTAGCACATCTGTTCAGTATTTCCATCATGCTCTCATGATTCTGGCTGCGATGTACTTAGTGGAGGTGCCATTCAGTAGAGAAGGGAGATAGAGTAAGGAGGCTGTGTGTGAAGAGATGGTGTTGAAAGAGATGGTGAAATTGTAGCTAAATGATGGGCCCAAACTCACTAGTAATCATATCTTCATTGACCCAAACTTTAGGGCCTTGAGAGGGGCTTGTTTCCAGCCAGGAGCCTTGAGTTTGGGAGCAGGAAGACTTCTGAGCCAGTCTCAGCACATTTTTGGGGGTGGGGGTGGGGGAGTTGGTACGAGGAGGAAGTTTCTGGGTATGAAGCTCTCTCTTCTGGAAGTGAAAAATGCTGTTCATCTATCTGTATGCCTTGGGCCTCTTCTCTCTCTCTCTCTCTCTCTCTCTCTCTCTCTCTCTCTCTCTCTCTCTTTCTCTCTAACACTCTGGATGGTTCCTGTCTCCTGTAGAACCCACAACTGTCCACATTGACTTTATCTAAACACATTTGAACTTGCAAACACAGATTTCCATCCCAGGTGAGGGAGCTTGTTCTCTACCCCACTGCTGCCTGCCTGTTCCCTAGCTTGTCCCCTGGAAATGGAGGCATAACTGAGGCACTGCCACAGGGTCACCAGCATCCCTGACAGGACTCCAGCTTTGGCTACTCCTCTGCATCTAGCAGATTTCACTTCTCTCTACTGGAGAGAAAGGTCTTAACAGTTCATAATTCCACAGCTGACACCTAACCTGAGATAAGCACATAAGAGAAGAGGGTTTTCAGGAAGCCAGATCAAGTGAGCTCCTGCCTCCCTCATCCCAGACCAACCCATACAAGGTAACCCAAGAGAGCAAACGGGCATCCATGCGGGACGATGCATTTGTTCTGAGCCTCTCGGTGCCCACCCCCTGAGTTCCTGGTGCCCTTGAAGAATGAGCCAAGCAGCCTGGCAGGCACAGAGAGAAACGGAACCCCATAGCTTCAGCCTGGCCCCGGCTCAGTGTGAAAGGGAGGTAGCTTCCACCTCCCACAGTTAGCCAGTCTTAGGAAACAGAAAACGAAGGAGCTTTTGAGATAATGACCTTGAGGCTGAGAATCTGCAGCTGGAGCACATATCTGTCACCCTAGAACTGACAGGCCGGGTGTCTGCCCTAGTGAGCAAAATCGTTTATCATGTTCAGGTAGGAGCGGAGTCCTTGAGACCCATGCCAAGTTCTTCACTGCTGCTTCCCCACCCCAACCCCCACCCAGTGGCACCCAGAAGCACCTCTTTGCCTTCCCAGCCATGGTTACCTTTGGGAATAAATGGTGATGGTTTTTCAACAGCGTAATTAGACCAAATCAAATTCTAGTCTTCTAATGGCTGTTAAATGCATCACAGATCCCTTATTGATTCTATTTAGAGAAAGAAATAAGTCCTGGCTCAGGCTCCTGCCGGGCAGGCTGGCCACCCACTAGATCCTCTCACCCAGTGGGTAGATAGGCCCGGTGTGGGGTACAGGTGTTGGATTTGGCCAGACATTCAGGACATAGAGGCAAAATGTCCTTGGAGAATGACTGCACTGGGATCCAATGGCTTCTCCTTGACCTTGCAGGGTCTGAGCCACCCAAGGACAAGACCATCATCCTGGAGCAGCTTCGAAAGATCTCCCTCCCGCTATATAGCATCCTGTCAGCCCTCACCATCCTTGGCATGATCATGGCCAGCGCCTTCCTCTTCTTCAACATCAAGAACCGGAACCAGAAGTAAGCAGCCCTGCCCCTCTCTGGGAGAATGCTTTCTGGCTGACCACCTTGCTCCACCAATGGAGCTGGGAGTCAGCATGGCAGGCTCTCTGGCCTGTGTGTGGTTCCTGAAGTGTGCTGCCCAGTTGCTAGGACACACACACACACACACACACACACACACACACACACACACACACACAGAAGGGGGCAGCTAGACTGCTGGAGGGCTGAATTAAATAAAGAGCTCTGGACATGACCATCACCTTGTAAGTCCATCAATGACACAGAGGACCCTAGAGTCCCCAGCTTCTCTTCCCTACTCCCAGCACCTTTAGGTATAGCTGGTGGCAAGGACCACCAGGTTCAGTGATAGAGGCTCCCATTGGTCAGCACATGGAAGCCCCTCCCTCACATCATTCATTTGACCCTTCCCGTGATTCCCAGGGTCACCAGGAGTCTGCCATCCATGAGTGACATAGCCTATCCCAGCAGCTCTATCTCAGGGTCTTTGCCTAAGTGAGTGCCCTCAGCTGTCCCCAGGAAGTCCTCACTCTGAGGTACTGAGCTTAGCTGTAGCTAGATAACCAAGCCACTACTCCTTGATCTTGGTGTTTTCCAGCTTCCATGACAAATCACTGAATCCAGCTCCAGCCTTGTAGTGGGACAGGCTGGACCAAAGCTAGAGGCATGTGTGTGTTGGAAGAGCCCGCACATGCAACCATGGGATATGGAGTCTTTGCCATTGTCCCCAAATCCACATTGTGTCAGCCACAGGCTAGTAGGGACCAGGGAAATTTCAGGGGAAATTCCAGGGAATGGGTTTTGTTCTGATTTTGTTTCTGTTTCTGCTTGCCAAAGAAGAACTTGGAGGCTTCAAGCTTTGATCGTTGGTTGGTTGGTTGGTTGGTTGATTTGTTTGTTTGTTTGTTTAAGTAATTGTTTAGGTCAAACCCATTTCCTGAAAAATAAATGCAATTCACCTGGTGTCTTTTTCCTAGCCACCTGCAATTTGCACAGCTACTGGAACCAATCCTGAGTGAGGGCTGTCCCTGGTAGCGTTTGGCTCAAGGCCTAGGCACATTGTCATTTCTCTGTGCTGTACAGCCTTCCTGCGTGTCTAAGGAGATCTTAGAGCTGCAAGCTGCCTCACCAGATTAATTCCCTAATTTCCCCCTCGTGGCATCTTGGAGAAATTACCAGAATGATTTATTTGGCTGTCTCAGCCATTGAAAAATCTGCAAAAATGTAGGAAGTAAATCTCCCTTCCCTCTTCCTACTCACACTTTTGTAAATCGCCTCCTCCAGGAAGCCCTCTAATGCTAAGATTGAATCACTCGTAGAATTGCAGAACACAAAGAAAATGTCTGGGGAACAATTGCCTATAGCTACCGTTTACAAAAGAACCATTCCAAGCTAACTGTGCTCAGGGAGTCAAGAACCTCTGGGTTGGCTAAAAGTTCTAGCCCTCACAGGGCTTAACTCAGCATTGATTTGTTGGGCTCTTGGCAGCCACAGCAGGATTCCTGGGAGTGAAAGATAGGGGACAGAAGATGGCATGGGGCCCAGTTGCCCAATTCCTGGGGTAAGGGTTGTGACTGTGCTACCCTGTCCCCTTTGCACGTCGAATAGCGGGAGCTTTCTGAGTGCTACAAGGCTACAATGCCTGATGAGCACAGTCCCTGAGGAACCCTAGATACTCACTGCAGGGTTCTGTGACATCCTGCCCAGACAGGGCAGTGTGGTTTGAGGACCACCCTCCTCACTACAACCCTTAGATTTAACTTGTCTTCCCAATCCTGGCCCCAAAGCCTGTAAACTGAAAAGTTCAAATAGATGAAGCTGTTGTAGCAAGTGTCCCTTGGGAAGTGACAGGTAGATTTGAGGAAGGAGCTGGGAAAATATGCCGCTACTGGGGTCCTCTCTAGAAGCAGTGAAGTATCAGCCTGGGCATAGGACAGCTTGGGGCCCCATTTCCCTCATTCCTGAAGACTTGGCAGCAGTGCTCGCCCAGGGTGCTTGGAAGATGCTCTGTGACCAAGTGTCCCTTCCCCACCAGGCTGATCAAGATGTCAAGTCCATACATGAACAACCTCATCATCCTTGGTGGAATGCTGTCCTACGCATCCATCTTCCTCTTCGGCCTCGATGGGTCCTTCGTCTCAGAAAAGACCTTTGAAACTCTCTGCACGGTAAGCCCTTTGGTATGTGCCAGATGGGTGGGAGGGAAAGATCTCTCTGTGACCTTGTCATCAGACAAAGCTGTGTAGAAACACTGGGATGGGCAAGAAACAACCAAATCAGGTCAACAGGTCTACAGCCGTGCTAGCAATGCAGTGTTTAAGAGCAGTGAGCATAGTCAGTGGCTGGACCACTGAGGTGACTGTGTTACCTCACTGCCAGGTGACAGCCAACACAGAAAGGACCAAATACTAGAAATGGAAAGAAAAGCCTGGCTCCCATCAGGATCTAAAGCATCAGAGCCACAGGAGCAGAGAGAGGTGTGTGGTGCGGTGACCTGGAGTCTGCCAGTGGTGGCCCTTACCAATGTTTTCATTACTGCTCAAGCCAGGAATCCGCTAGGAAGTACACCACACACACACCACACACACACACTACACACACACACCACACACACACACCACACACACACACACACACACACACCACACACACACCACACACACACCACACCCACACACACACACCACACACACACCACACACACACACTACACACACACCCCACACACACACACCCCACACACACACCACACACACACCACACACACACACTACACACACACCCCACACACACACACCCCACACACACACCACACACACACCACACACACACACTACACACACACCCCACACACACACACCCCACACACACACCACACACACACCACACACACACACACCACACACACACACACCACGCACACACACACACCAAACACACACACACACACACACACACACACACTCACGCACGCACGCACGCACGCACCCCACATGTTAAACTTTCCAGGATCACACATGTCCCCAGTGCTGTGGGGGCAGCACTGGAAAAACCCTAAATTCCAGATGGCAGTGCCCTTATCCCTACTGTTCCCGAGTCAGCAATGTCCTGCCCTTCTTGGACATTATCTTGGTCTGTGATGAGCTCATTAGGTGGTGGGAACCTAGGTGCTGCGCTGCCCTGAGGCACCTCACTAAGTACTTGGAGAGAGCAAAAATACCCTAAACGTTTGCTCCAAAGGGCTTGGAGCCCTCCCCCCATCAGTAACAATAGGGAACTGGTACTAGGACTTTCCTGGTGACCTCTAGGCTACACATTGGTCCAACATCCCAGGAGGGTGAGGGACCTGCCTCTGTCCCCCAAGTCTAGTGCAGAACTGTACCCCTGGTTCTGGAGCTGCCCCAGCCCCTCCTAAGGCTCTGCTGGCTCCTTGGCATTGCCTCCAGTGGGTGCAATGAGTCTTAGGTGCAGAGAAACTCTGAGAACTGGCCTCCAGGAGAGTCTCTTCTCAGAGATAGACCCACCCTTGCACCCCACCCTCGAAGGCACTTCCCAGCTGGGGTTTTCTGGGATTTGACCTGAATTCTCCAAGTGCTAATGACAGGCCAGTGAGCTAGGGAGCAAGGAAAGGGCCGTCCCCACATTGGGCTTTTTCCTTAATGAAGCCTGACATTCTATTCTGGGAGTAGCACTCATTTGTGTGAGAGGAAGGTCGTCCTGGGAAGCCCGGGGAGGCAGCATGAATAAATCATGACGTGCTTTACAAATCGACCTGAGTTTGAGCTCCGGGGCTGGGGAAATGGCAGTTCTCTTGCCCACAATTCCTGTATCAGCAGTGGGAACTGCATGGAGGGAGCCCACATGTGACTGCAGGAGAAACAGCCTCCCCCGGATTGAACCGGTTCAGCCCCAATGTATGGCCAGGGTCACTTCCAGAATAAAATTCCCTCTGTCGCTCAAGAAGAGGGGTTTGTATTCACAGTTCCCACGCTGTTGGCTCACAACAACCCGTTCTCCATTCCAGAAGATCCAATGGCCTTTTCTGGCCTCCGTGGGCACACACGTGACACACATACATACATGCAGGCACACAAATATACACATAAAACAAAAAGCAAACCTTTTCTTAAAAGGTGATACAGAGGGCCAGGGTACAGCCCTCTGAGCGGTCCTAGTCAAGGAGCCGCCCCTCCCACCACTGCCCCGTGTTGCCATACCCATTCATTCTCATCCCGTGAGATGGTCTGGTAGGTTCTTAAGGCTCTGCCAAATCTCTTTCCAGGAGACAAGCTCTCTGGCTGAAGCCTTTCCTTCTCCCAGTAGGAGATTCCTAGGGAAATTCCTACTTCTTGGGGGTCCAGTCTGACAGAGGTTAAAGGACAGAGGTGTCTCTTTAGAATACCTTCATTTCTACCATGCTGGTTACAACCTGGTCTCCAGGTCAGTGACATCCTCAAAGCCAGCCTCCATCATGAGCAGCTTCCCAATGTCACTCTGTTCGGCCTCCCAAACATGTCCCTTTTCTGTCCTTCGGGTTTTAATACAGACAACCGTGACAGTACCTCAGAAAGAACCTGTGATAACCCCAGGGTCCAGCCTCCCTGGGGGTCAGGCCTGTGCTCAGCAAGGCCATTAGAATCCATACAGGGACACATGTGAGCACACATGCACACACACAAATGCTGCTGCTGGAGAAGCAGCCACACTCAGCTCCCATCCCCCCCAACTTCCATCCTTTCTGGAACCTTCCCAGCCTTTAGTGCCAGCTTCAGCAAGTCCTGCAAGTAGTTCCAGCTCCATGGTGCTGTATCCCTGGACACTGTCAGAAGTAGAGTCACCATAGCAACACGGCCCCTGTGGGCAGAGTTGCTGGTAGAAGGATGCTGGGTGTGGGCAAAGCCCTGGTGTTGGGGGAAGGGAATACTGGTTCACAGATGACAAGCCCACCTGGCTCAGGAACCACAGCCCCAGCAGCTGGCAAGAGAGCCAGGCAGGTGACAAGATAAATTACACTCGCAGTCCTGTGATGTATAGGCAGGAACCACAGCCAGGGCATGGGAAATGACAGAGAAATCCACAGAGAGAGAGAGCCACCAAGAGGACCCAGAGGCCTGGTGGACAATGAGCCTTGTAGGACCTGCTATACTCCCTGCCTGGCTCAGTAGCATTGCTGAGGGTGGAAGCAAGCCAGCAGCTCTGTGTAAGCCCCCATAAGCCCACTCCACCCTGGAATTCAACACCATCAACATTGCCTTACCCTGGTGCTGCCCCTCCTTCCAAGCCCAAGGCAGGCCACCAGATAAGACAGGACTACAGCCCACTTGTCCTGAGGGCAAGCCCAGAACCTGCCCTGAAGTGCTTGGCTAGGTTCCAAACACCAGGAGACTATAAGGATTGTCAAATCAAACAAGCAAACAAAAGCCATGTACAGTGATCTTTTTTAATCTAGTACATTTATTTATTGCAGGGAGTGGGGGGGGGGGCACATGTGCCAAGGCTCTTGTGTGGAGGTCAGAGGACGTTATGAGAGTCCACTCTCTCCTACCATGTGGGTTCCAGGGACCAAACTTAGTCATCAGACTCTCTTGCCATTGAGCTGTCAACTGGATTTTGCCAGGAAAAACAGGTCAACAAGTCAGCTAAATTCTGTCTGCCAAACAAGCATCCCAGCTAAATGTTTGCCCATTTGGATCTTAAAAAAAAAAATCAAGATAACAACAACAACAAAATCTACCCTTTATGGAATATACTTGAGCAGTTTTAGTGTACTCTTTCGTTTCTAATATTTCTGCAGAGAATTTTAGAGAGGCCATTGGCAGATATCTGTGTCCAAAACTGTACCATGTGACTTCCAAACTGTATGACTTTGCCTCTGCTACTAACATCTCTGAGTCTTAGTTCATTCACCCTTCTGTAAAAGCAGCATTCTACTAGGTTTGTGAGGGTTAAATGAGAACATGTATTAAAGTTCTAGGTCCCAATGGATGCTTATGAATGAATGAATGAATGAATGAATGAATGGGTGAATCGCTTATGGATGAATGATGGACTGTTAGGATAATCATGGTCACTTCTAGAAGGCAGAGTGAACAGATGAAGAGCTGGGAACCCAGGGTGGGTGCTGGTAGTTTTGGTGCAGGTGTTTCCATGGCAACTGGGACCTGCTGTGGCCTTGCTCTGCTAGAACTTGGCTGGACACAGGCCAAGCTGCAGTGAGCCTCTGCCACCTGCAGTGTGGAGGGCCTCAGGGCAGGCCACGAGGGCAGGAAGAGTGATGCTGCAGGGACCTCTGTGAATGCTCTAGCAGGAGTCCCCAGTCACTGGACTCCTGTTAAAAGCCAATCCAGCTGGTGGCTGCTCGGTGAGCACTCGAGGAGTCAAGCTCAACATGACAGTTCCTGTCCGAGAAAGGAGAAGCCTTATTCACTTCCTGCTTAAAGCATAGGAGTGCTTACAGATACATAGACAGCTTGGACAGATCCTGGTGAATAGCAGCAGAACTCCTCACGGCCAGCCACAGGTGTTGACACTGCTTCCCCAGCCCACACCTAAAGGAGCTGTACGTCATAGGTCCCCAGGGCCGTGCTGTGGTGGAGTCCTTTGGAGACCAGGGAGCCCACAAATGTCATTCTCTGAACACCAGCTATGGAAGAGCAGGGCTCGAGAGTGGAAGACGCTGGTACTTGCCCCCTTCCTCAAGTCTCCTGGAGCAGAGCAGCCCTGTCCCAGGACGCAGGGTTGAGTCCTGTGGGTGATTTTAGCTTCTTCCCCTTGTTACAGGGGGCTGTATGCTCAGCATGGCCAGCAGCTGGACAAGGGTGGGGCAGAGGTGCCTTCTTTTAACCCTTCCTGAGATGCTGGATTTTTCTAACTCTAACTAAAAAGGTAGACATTACCCAAGAAGCCCCCACTTTACCTCCTAGAAAATTCAGGTCTAATAAAAATTAGTGAGATTTTTTGCTTTAAAGGATTTGCTTGCTTGTTTTGTCCCATGGGGCTTCCCTTTGAGGTAGCTGAGGGCCATCCGTGTGTGATTCATGCCTGTAAATGAAGCAAGAGAGTAAAGGCAGGAAGGGGTTGGAGTGGTTCTCGGGTCTCTAGCTTGGGTGACAAGTGTGTGGTGGCAAGACTCTCTGCATCTGAGGAAACAGCAGCTCAGGGAAGAGTGTGAAACCTGGCTGTGAAACTGAGGGTTTTATGGGACACCTACTTGTCACCAAGGCCTCCTGTGATGCAGCATGTGCAGCTTTAGAGCCCAGAAGAAGAGGGAGTCTAGGAGTCAAGATGACATCTAGTGACAGCCTTGGGTGGGCTGAGGAAGCTCCATCCCGAGCCGCTTCCATCTCGCAGATACAAGAAGAGAAAAGAAATGGATGTCCCCTCAGGCAGAGTCCCTGGAGGGTGGTAGGTGAGCCAGCCTATGAGACCACTCTGCTGGGATTATTCTGCTGTCTTTCTTGCTGCTCTGTTTTCTGCTACTGGTTTGCCCTTAGCAAGAATCTGTGGTATATGGGATGTAAGATCTGCTGGTGACATACAGAAACCCTCCCAAGGACACAGAACTGCGCAGGATATTGGCCAGGCCATTACAGTCAGCAGTGACAGCCCCAGCCTCAGTGACTCACTGGGATTACCACGCCTGAACATCCAGTTGTATTCATGGTTCTCATCAACTACCAAAACTAGCCAAGGCATAGACTCATGGGGGGAGATATCCAGGGAAGACCTAGTGAACACCCAGAGCCTTCTTCAGGGACATAGGACAAGCAGGACTACAGACATGCCGGGAGAGCCCACAGGGCAAGCCATATAAGCACCAGGCCTGCAATACACCCACATTCTAGGCAGAAAGAACATGACTGCCTGGAATTACATATAAATCTCAAATCACACCTTTTGTACAAATTGCTTAGGCATAGGGAGACCCTACATCCTGGAGTGAATGGGTCCCCAAGTCCAAGTTCACAGATGCCAGGCAGGGCCAACATCTCCAGCGAGCAAGTGTCTATGGAGGGTTCTTTTTTTTTCCCCCTATGGAGTGTTCTACCCAGGCACTCTTGGTCTTCTTTGCTTTCAGTTCACTGCAACACATTGCAGCTTCCAGATGCTAGATTAAATTTCTCTCATCAAGTTTTAACTCACTCAATTTATGTTATTGAATCTTAATGAAATTGGACCTCTCAAAGGAGACAAGTGGCCTGGTAATGATGGCTTTAGAGAGAACATGGGTCAAAGGGAATTTGAATAAGTCAGGAACAGGCCAGTGACATGTGGCCTCCAAATAAGATCTTTGTTGGCCTCGGAATCACAGAATGAGGCAAAAAGAACAACATTGTCTCATCTTTTCCATTCTTTATATAAAAACAAATACCCATGTTCTGTGTATGTTTACAGTTGAGTCACTGACCTTTTTAAATAATTTACTTTAATTTTATGTGCATTGGTGTAAAAGTGTCATATCTTCTGGAACTAGAGTTACAGATAGGTGTGAGCTGCCATGTGGGTGCTGGGAATTGAACCTGGGTCCTCTGGAAGAACAGCCAGTGCTCTTAACCACTGAGCCATCTCTCCAGACCCTGAGAGTTACTTTCTAATAGTGTATGATCCAAAACTCTGAGAGACTGGTCTCAGGGTAGACAGAGTCACTGTAAAGTGTGTGGAGGTTGTGAGAATTCTTTTTCTCCATGCCATCCCAATCACCTGACAAAAGCAACTTAAAGAAGGAAGAGTTTATGTTGCCTCACAGTTTAAGGGCACAATCCTAATCAGAAAACTTCCTCACAGACACACCCAGGGGTTTGTTTCCATGGCGATTATAATTCCCATCAAGTTGACAATTGAGATGAACCATTGATTTTCGTTAGACTTTTAGCTCTGTGATGAAATAGCTGGCAAAACAGCTCATGGCATGGATAATAGCTTTGGACTGACAGTCCTGCTTCAGTCCATCCTGGTAAGGAATGTGTGGCCCAACAGAGGTGCTTGCCCATGTGGTGGGCTGGAAGCAGAGACAGAAAGAGCCAGGGACCAGGTCTAACCTTCAAAGGCCAGCCCCTAGCAGCCCAATTCCTACCTCATAAGGCTTCCACAACCTCCCAAATAGCACAAGCAGCCGAGGACACAACATTCAACACTAGTGCCTGTGGGGACAGCGCAAATGAAGTGTTACAGAGACCCTGCCCAGCAGAGTGTGTCCTGACTGGTGGGCCAGCTCCTGCTTGTAGACAAAGCTGATTTCAGTTGGGGAGAGAGGTCCGCTCTGGCTTGAGGTGATGAATTGAAGTTTCAAGGATTTCAGTGGATAGGTGGGGAGCTGTGTAAGTGCTGTGGGCCTCCATTTCCTCCTTTATAAAGTGATTTCCTCACTCCACAGCTCCCAAGTTGTCCTGGTTGCTGGTAGTGATTTGCATTGTCCACACTGCCTCTGACCTACCTCATGGTCTGTGTTGAATGAGCAGATGAACCAAGTGTCTGGCTGAGTGAATGCTGTGTGAGTGCCCCAGTGACTGTGGCAGAGGTGTGTGAGTGAGTGCCCCAGGGACTGTGACACAGGACAGTGGGTGCTCTGAGCCATGGGAGAATCTCATGTCTCAGTCCCCAGGGATCAGCTCCTCCTCACTCCACTTAGCATCCTTGAATTACAATATGGATACTACTTACACACATTCTAATATAGGTGACAATGTGACCACCCCCACCCAACCCCCCAAAAAAACCACCATCACTCATTGCCCATCTGATTTCCTACCTATTGAGTAAACAAAAGAAAACAGAAGGCTGCATTGCCACCTGAGCTGTGTCCCCACTCACACATCACATGCGTCTCTCAACAATGACTAGACTCCTGCTGCCTTTGCTAGCTTTTGGGATTGCCCTTGCCACATCCTCAGCCAGTTTTGGTCTTCACAAATGGAGTGGGATTGGGATAGCTGTGAGCCATATTGCCAGAACAGCAGAAGCAGGCACAATGCATCACCAAAGGGTGAGTTTAGTTGGGAGCTGTACTGGGAGGCCAAGGCTCCCAGTGTGTTAGAGGCATCCAAGTGGGCCGGTGAAGGTAGCATCTGGCTGTCATTACAGTCCTGGCACAAAGTGGCCATCCTAGAGACCCCACGGTAGCTATCAGATGGCGGCTATCCTGTCTCAACCTCCAGGGCGTAGGCTCCTTCAGACTGGCTGTTCCTTTGAGTCACCAAACAGGGCTAGTCACCAAGGCACATCTCAGACTAGGGGAGCATGTCAGAGCCAGGCAGGATCTTAGTCCTGAGCAGGGCCCCCAGAGTCAGTCAAAGGAACGGGAGAGGAAGGAATAGGAGAGAGTAGAAGGGAAGATGCCTGTTTCTTACCTCCCTAGTGAACCCCAACAGTTCAGAGTTTTCTGCTTCTTGCTAGGTAGGTTGGCGCCCTCTGAGCTGTGGCCCATTTGGAGGTAGGATTTGAACCTTTTTGACCTCTGCACCTAGTGCCCAGGACCTGATGAGTATAGAATGATACTACTATCTGTGGAATCAGAATCTGACTACAGGATGCTCAGGAGACTCACAAGCACACATGGCAGAATGTCTGTCCCCAGCACCCAGGTTCCACTTGCTGGACAGTCAGTCACCTGGGAGATGTTAACTCTGCTGTATTGTCCTGGCTTCTAGGTCCGGACCTGGATTCTCACCGTGGGCTACACAACCGCCTTTGGGGCCATGTTTGCAAAGACCTGGAGGGTCCATGCCATCTTCAAAAATGTGAAGATGAAGAAGAAGGTAATGAGAGCCCCCACTTTGGTTGGCTGTGTTCACTCTGCTTTTCTTGTGTAAACAGGCATTAAACACCTGCTGTGTGCAGGTACTGAGCAACTTGGTGGAGAGTCAAGGGAAACCCACTTCCTACCTCCTGATGACAGCTTCCAGGGAATCTGTTCACAAAACCTTTACAGCTCACAGGGACAGGAGCTGTTTAGGGATATGTAGGGTGTTCTGGGACACAAGGTACTCAGGGAAGGCTTCATGTAAGAAGTGCCACCTGTGCTAGGTCCTGGGAGTAAGTGGGAGGCACCAGGCAAAAAGGATGGGGACTGCATCGCTACAGAGGTTACAGTGTGTAGACAGTCTGACAGTGGTGGAAGGAAGTGAGTGGGCTAGAAGCTGAAAGACTTGGCTTTGCCAGGATTTAGGGTTCACATGGACAGGGGACAAGAAGAGACTGGAGGGGAGGTATGAGTGACATTAGGGACTCAAAACTGCAACTTAGGGGTAATAGGACCTCTTCAAAAGAGGAAAGAGTAGCTGGGCGTTGGTGGTGCTCACCTTTAATCCCAGCACTTGGGAGGCAGAGGCAGGAGGATCTCTGTGAGTTCAAGGCCAGTCTAATCTACAAAGTGAGTTCCAGGATAGGCTCCAAAGCTACACAGAGAAACCCTGTCTCAAAAAAATCAAAAAAAAAGGAAGAAAGAAAGAAAGAAAGAAAGAAAAGAAAAGAAAAGAAAGAAAAAGACAGAGCAAAGAGAAACAGGGCTAGGGTCCAATTTAAGGATGAGGCTTTCAAAGGAGCTCTGCCTCCAGGCAGGGAGAGAGCATTTGCCCCATGCCGTGTGTGACCATGGTGTTGACGAAGCATGACTGAGCACCTGGACATAGAGGAATTCCCATGCTATCCCTTAAACTCCTGTCTCAACCCTGCACCAGGCTTGTTGGCCAAGCAGAATTTGAATGGGCATCGCCTCCTAAGCTGCCACTCTCTCTCCTGCTCCAGCCTTCCTTCTGCCCCCACAGTACACGTGACAGTTCCCTTTTGTGAGATGGAAGTGGCAGCCATCCCAGCCATTTCTGGTCCTGGCTATGAGTTCCAGTCCAATGAATTATTATGAACACAGGCCATCCAGCCCAGGTTGCTTGAGCTCAAAGCTCTGAGGCTATAGCTGATCATCAGTAGTTTCTAGACTTTCCCAGGTGATTCAATTGTCCCTCGGCTTCCTCTTGACACTGAGTTCGGAATCACACACACACACACACACACACACACACACCCTACCTAAAACAACCAAACTCTCAGGTGCTTTGGATAAAATGGACTACTTGTCAACGTACCCCACCCATACTCTCATACACCTTAAATCATCTCTACACTGTTTACAATACCTAATGCAATGCAGATGCTGTGTAAACAGTTTTTAGACTGTATTATTGTAAGTCATTATAAGAGAAGACAGTTTGTATATTCTTAGTACAGACGCAAGCACCAGGGGCCTGCTGCCTGGTGAGCCACCTTGACTGGTGGAATCTGTGTCTGTAGCAACACAAAGGACCACAGTGCTGATCTATAGCCATAGCAAAAGCCCTCTGGCCTGTCTTGGACTGTCAGTGTGAGCTACCCTTGCCTGAAAGCCTTAACAGTGCAGGTTCTTGGGGCTAACCGGCCCTGAGGAAGCAGAGTGCTGGCGTGGGGTCCAGGCTGCCATGCTTGCACCAGCCCTCCCCAGAGCTAAGGGTGCTTGTCTAGACTCTCCTGCTCTGCAGCCCTGCTTTGAGCTGCTCTACCATTAATGCAACTATCCTGGCTTGAAAGAACCTTATCATTGATTCCGTGTGCTACTGAGTGGGTTATCCACATCGTCACCTGCCACCTGGAACTGGCTGCTGTATTCCATTGAGGGACTGCAGAGAAAGAACATACCAACTGGCAGCAGCCCACTGAGCATGTCAGGAAAAGCTCGAGAGTTAGGGGTTTGTGTCCCCAAGAGGCGAGGGTGGGATGTCTCCAGGGACCACAAGCTCAGGTCACATCTGATGACATTGCCCAGTGCCAGAGCCCAAAGCAGGATGTACTCCTCTGAGAGTGCAAATTCAGCAGCCCATCCAAAGGAGGGGCTTCTTTGATGCACAAGGCCCCCACCACTTTTTTCTCGTTCTTTTTTAACTGGGAGGGGTACTTTTTACTTTTTTTTCATTTTCTGTTACTTTTTTTCCTTCCTTTCTGAAAAAGAGGTGATGATGACAGGAACAGTGGACACCTAGGACCCTTGGGAGTGTGAAGTTAGACTGAACCAGGAGTGCACAGTAATTGTGTCCTCCGAGACCTTGAGGGCCACTTTAGGGAAACCAGTGGGCAAAGTGGCATCAAGGGTGTTAAGAGTCACAGACAGAAAGGGGACGATCTTCCTGCACAGGAGTGAAGATAGTTTTGCCCTTGAGGAGGAAACTGATGATGTTGGGGTGGGGGGGTCAATCATACAAAATCACCTCCATCCAGTTAGCCAGGCTAAACTGTCCACTTGAAAACAGCTAAAATGACAAATGTATTTTGTCATTTTATGTAAATGTAAAATGTATTTTGCCACAATTTTAAAAACCAATAAAAGTCAGGGCATGGTGACTTCTGCCTGTAATCCCAATACTTGGGATGCTGAGGTGGGAGGATTGCCGTGAGACCAAAGCCAGTCTGGGCCAAATAGTGAGTTCAAGGCCAACCTAAGCTACAGACTGAGACCTTGTCTCAAAAACAAACAAACCAAAAAAGTGAATACAACAAAACAGATCTTGGTCATGTAAAGACCCAGCCCATGGGGGAAACCCTCATTGGAGGCACTGCTGCCTGCCCTTCAGCATGATCTGGCCCTCCACTGCATGCTTGACAGGCCAGTGGGAGGCCTGTTTCTCCTCTCTACCTCACCCTCCTCCTGCTGCTCAAGGAATCAGTTTTAAACCTATAGCAAACCCTCTGAGGACATCACCCTCAGGTGGTGTGTTCACCATCCTTGACCTTTTCCACAACAAAACCATTGCCCAGTTTTTGTCCCCAGAGGCCATGGCACTACAATGTGTTTTTGTATTGTTGTGTGACCTTCACCACCAATCACCTCCAAGACACAAGAGAGAGCCCCACACCCATTCGCCCGCCACCAGTCCCATTCCCTTCTGCAGCCAGGGACCAGCTTACACTGCCTCTCTCTCAATCTGACACCAGCAGTCTCACGTAAATTGAGTCATGTGGCGGGCATGTTTTGTATAACTGACCCATTTTATTAGACTGTTGAGTTTGGATTCTGTCTTGAGGACCCCTTAATTCTCTTCTAACAACATGTACACTAGATTTTCATAAACATAAAATGTGTGTGCCTTTTCCATTACAGTCCTACTACACCTCCCTTTCTCAGTGAGCTCCCCAAATCTCTCCCTCCACCCCAGGTGGTGGGCCCCCCCCAAAACACACATGCAGGCTTCACCTCCCATGACCCTATCATTACAGACACCCAGGGAGGAAGCCTATCAAAGAGAGCTTCGCACATGGTGACTTCATGTTCCAAATTCGGCATTTTTATAGCATGTTACTATTTTTCTAAAGACCAATCATAAAGTCTTACATGGAGAAACTTATTACAGCCTTCCTTCTCACTAAGCAAAATGAAGTGTGGAGAGGAGGCAGTCTCTCAGGGAAGGAACTTTCTGTTCTGGGGCAAATGTTTTCTGAGGATGAATACATCTTAGCTCTGTCCCCAACAAGATAACACAGCAACAAAACATCTAAGGTCATTCTGCACACAGTCACCTGGCTCACCCATGGAACTGCCATTGGAAGGCTTCCAGCAGCTGTCTGGACAGTTCAGCTGTGAGAGACAACAGGGTGAGAGGGCAGGGTGAGGTGACACCAGGGGCCCTCCATACTGCTCTTCCCTAAGGGGGCACTTCAGAGCAGAAAGTCGGCCCTGCTAGAAGATAAGTCAGGACCAGTCAAAAATCTGAAGTCAAGCCCAGTATGATGATGGCACATAAATGTAATGCCAGTTCCTGAGAAGCTGAGGCAGGAGTATCCCAGGTTCAAGGCCATTCTGGGCTCCAGAACAAGACTTTGTCTCAAAAAATTTTTAATTTTAAGGATTTCTTTGTTTTAGTTTCACTTTTAAGCAATAAGAGTGTCCCCCCTTAAAACCAGAGGTCAGTAAAGTTTCTTCTGTTAAAAAAAAAAAAAAAGCAAAACATAACAGTGGTAAATGCTCCGACCTTGTGGGCCCTGCTGTCTCATTTGCAGGGATTCTTGTCTGCTTGACAAATGAAAGCAGCTGGGACAGATGTTTCACATAGATAGGTGTGATTACATTCCCATAAAACATTGCCTACAAAAACAAACGGTGGGTGGATTCCAGGGTTTTCTAACTCCTGCTCAGGACAGCAGTTAGAAGTAACATTTACAGAAGATAGCCAGCTTCTGCCTCGGCAGAGCAGTTACCATAAGCCCAACTTTGCATATCAATGTGAATTGTATGCTTATCAGACCATTTCTAGTGTGACTAAAGCAGCTCAGAGGGACAGGGACATATTCAAGACCCCAACTAGTTAGTCCATGTCATACTTAGATCTAGAACCAAATACTTGGTCATTGCTGCTGCCTTGATGCCATGTAGAGAGAATGTGGCATTGTGGCATGCTAGATCAGACAGGCAGCAGGTGATTATGTCATGAGTGGTGGCAGACAGGCAGCAAGTGATGATGTCACCAGTGTTGGCAGAGGTTGGGTGGGGCAGGTTCTAAAAAAGAAGGAAGAGGGAAACCTGTAAGCTTTGAGAGGTTCTCTCTGGGGCTCTACATGTAGCCAGGATGGCACTATTTCTATTGTCTCCTGTTTTCACATCTTGGAGTTGTTTTGAATCATTTCCTCTGGCACTCTGTCTGTGGTGTGTACAGCTGGATTGTTCAGTCTTTCTCTATTAGTCTTCCCCACTATAATGCATGCTCCACCAGGGTGAGATCCTGTGTTCACTGCTACATTTCCCATGCCTGGGACAAACATTGACCCCATGTTGGCACTCAAAAGCATTTACAAAAAGAAATTATAAATGTCCTCTTCTCATATTCTCAGGGCCTTGGTAGAGCTGTCTAGTAGAGCTGAGGTGTAATATCACACTTTGCCCCTAGGTGTCACAATCCTACACACAAACAGCATCACTAATAATGATCAATTCCAGAATAATGGTAGCCAGGTTTCATTCCTTGGGCTTCTTCTCTAAGCAGACCTCACAATGGGTGCTTTTCACACTTCATCTCACCTGATTCTAATACTAACTGTGTCACTTGGGGATCAGTGTTCCCCTTTATCAAGGAGGAAACGGAAGCCCAATAAAGTTAAGCATTTGGCTTAACTTTATTCTAACCTGGGGTTAGAATGAGGTCTATTGGGACCCACTGCCCAGTGTCATCCCAGTCTCCTCCTGGAGCCTTTTGGGGAAAGGGGTTTGACCCTGCTGCACCAATGAGAGGCATCCTTGGTCTTCTAAGGTCAGGTGAGCTCACACAAGGTGTGCCAGAGACATGGGATCCTGAGAAGCTGCCTGGGTTCACAATAGTGGGAGAGCAGGGAGCATCCTGGAAGGTGAATGTCCTGGGTGCATATACCCCTACTTCCAGCTTGGACAGCAGAGACCCCTTCCTGCCTGTCCTGAACCTCAGGTTCCTGAGACACTTTCTCAAGCCTGGTAAGGAGTTGCCTGGATCCCCAGAGGACAAAGGCTAGGTCATGCCACACCATTGGGGGCAGAGCAGTGCCCGGTGTTCCATCCCCAGGTAAAGCTATTCTTGTGAATTTGATCAGCAGCACTTGTTTGTTTGTTTGTTTGTTTGTTTTTATTCAGCTACAGTGAGGCCTCCTGAGTTATTATTTCCTCCTTTAAAAAATGGCCTTACTCCTTAGAAGTCGGAGCTGGTGATATTTCTTGAGCTTATGTCACAGCTTTGTTTATTTTCCCATTGGTCTTTTCTAGATGGACTTTCATTGTTAGCTTTTATTTATGTGGTGGCTGGGTAGGGGGAATAAACCTGCAGTCAGTGAAATACAGGTGAACCCTGTCAGTGCCAAGGTTTGTCCCCAGGACCCTCCCTGTTAGCAGACTGAAAGTAGAGTGAAGGCAGGAAGATCAGAAGTTCAAACCAACTCCTGGCAACATAGGGAGTTAGAAGCCGGGCTAGGATGCAGGAGCGTGTGTCTGGAGGAGGAGGAAGGGGGGCTAGGAAGGGAGAAGGGGGAGAGAGAAGGAAAAAGGAGGAGGAAGAGAGAGGAGGAGGAAGTAGTTTACCAGACAGTAACGACTGATGTTTCACACTAAAGACCTGGAGGGTGAAAACCACCATTGAGCAGAGACTGAAAGTGGCCAGATTTCAACAAGTCCAGGTGTGTGTTTAGGTGCTGGTTGGACGGTGTTCCAGAAGGACCTTGACTCCAAGCAAAGCCTGAGCTGAGCTCCTCCGTCTGGGTGGCTCTGTCATGTCGGCCCCTCTTTGCTCTTTCCTTCGGCAGATCATCAAAGACCAGAAGCTGCTTGTGATTGTGGGGGGCATGCTGCTCATCGATCTGTGCATCCTGATCTGCTGGCAGGCCGTGGACCCCCTGCGGAGGACGGTGGAGAGGTACAGCATGGAGGTGAGAGGTCAGGCAGGCGGGAGGCAGGAGGCACTGCCAGGATATCCCGACATCAAGGTGGTGGGCTCTGTGCCACACGGTTTCCTCTTTAACTTCACCTCCTTCTGTCTGAGACACAGGTTATTTCAGGAAGGGCAAATAGAAGGTACCAGGGAACAACTTAATATATTAATAAATGCAGAATCAAGGGGAAAGGTTGGACCACTTGAAGGAGTATATTGTCATAACCAGGGAAGCACCCATGTACCTGCTCATTCCGGTGAGAAATTACACTGCCTTGTGTCCCACCTTTAAAGCAGGGACACACACTCCGAGAGCTCCTGCTTACCATGTGATATTCAAGGCAACGAGCAATGGATTTCTTTCCATACATTCCATTTTGGATATTTGTTGTTAAGATAAAGAACCTTACAGAAAAGTCTTGTGACATACATTGTGAGCCAGGAAAGGCAGCCCAAGTTTGTAATCCCAGAACAGAAGACAGGGGGATCCAAGGTCAAGAGCAACCCGGGCTGTATATGGGAGACCTTTTTCCCTTTATGTGAATGTAGGTTTTAATTGTCTTGTTCGAAGCCTTGCACTGGTCATTGTGAGATGCCCCAGTTTGGGAAGCCTGAGTCCTCTAGTGTCGAGTGGCTCTCTCTCCTCATATAAGTGAGCTTGGCTGTGTAGATTCTGACTGGCAGGTAGTGGTTACTGTCATAGCAGTGTGTCAAATTCCAAAAGACCCTGAGAGTCTCCACACCCCTTGCTCCATTATCAGGTGAATCATTTTTTACAAAATGTCATATGTCCTCTTAAACTGAACCAGAAGTGTTGGTTCCATGAGCTGGGGACAGAGGTTTGTGTCCTTCAAGTAAATAAGATGCCCAGCCATACTTAGGTGGAGGTGACCCTGGGTTTATTCAGCCCAGTGAGGAATCATACAATCAGAACATCATTTAGGAAAGAGACTGGAGACCATACCATTCTGCATGTTCCCTGGGAAGGTGCAGGAACGACAGAAATGGCAACAGGTGTGCTTGTGGGTGAAAGGGACGGCCACCAAGTCACCCCGTCAGACAGGCTCTTCCAGACCTGTGTGGAGATACATCTGGTCACCCCTCATCAGATATAACTGACAAAAGAACATAGTCCACCCACTCAGTGCCCTAAGGCATTCCCCTCCCACCCCTCAAGATTGACAGATCAGAAAAAGTTGTCCCTGGGAAATGGTGATGGTGATTAGCTGGTACTATATGTCCTTTAATCTTCACTATGATTCTGGAAGGTCTGTGTTGTGCTTACCTTCATTCTCCTGGCAAGGAAGCAAAAACCCAGTAAGTAGGTTGTGTGCTTACCTATTACCTAGCAAGTGAGTGGCCATGCCACCACCACCCTTCTGTTCCCTTGAACACCTGGATAAGTTCTTCACAGTTGCACAGTTGCCTTAGAGCTTTGGGCACTGGCCACATATCTGTGAAAATGGAAGAGGCAAGACATGTCCATCCCATCCCACAGAGGAAGACTCAGGCCACAGGCCAGGAAAGACAGAGGGCCCAGGATAAAGGAAAAGAGATAGAAGAACCCCGAGAAGGCTTTAGCAGGCCACTGAAGACCAGGCCTAGGGTGTCCCTAAGACCTGAAGGCTGCATTCTCACTGTTTCTACAGAGGAGTGAGGGTGATTCAGGTGCCCTGGGGCTAAGGCTGGGGCAGGGACAAGTCAGCCTGAGTAGCCGATTCTGGAAATGCAAAGTGTGTCCTCAGGACCATTCAAATGAAATCCTCTTGCCACCTGCTCTGGTGGCTAATGGTTTACTTAGTGGAGTCTTCCCACCCTCCTGCCTGTCTGCTTTCTGTTAATGGGTCCACTACATCCAGACCTGCCAGGTTAGTGCTCCAAACTGTCAGCACAGATGAGGAAACTGAGTCTGGGAGGGAAGGAATGCTACCCAGGGCCATCTGGCTCGTCGGAGGCAAGGTCAAGACTGACTCTTCCCCACCCCACCCCCAACCTGGGTACCTGTTGAGACTTCTTTCACCTCTTTCTGGGACATTCCTGTTTTTCTGCTCTAATTTTGGGCTGGTCCTGTTGCTTTGTTGCCATGGTAGCACAACCCTTTGATGTCTCAACCCACAGCAGGGTCCCTATAGTTTCCCAGGAAGGATACTAAGCTGTCCAGAGGTTTCACCCAGACTGCCTGCCAGGTACAGCTCAATACAGTAATAAAACAAGGTACCCAGGCTGTGGGGTGCTAAGGGCTCATTGCAGGGGCAGATTTTTCAGGTCAGCATGGAAGGAACTCTGGGCTGAAGGGAATTAGTTGATTGAAGGCCTTTGTGGTCTGTCCCTTTTTACTTCCCCTTCCTCCACAGCACCTCAGTTTGCTCTGGGCTTTCTAACACCACTTAAATCCAAGGTTTTATCAGGGTCCTGCCGCTTCAGGAATTTTCTCTACCAAATAAATGCCTTGACCTTCAGCACCAAGGCCATTTATTACAGAGCTGTGTCGCTGAGTCCCCTGGCCCTAGCAGAGCTGAGCTGCCTTCCCTTTCCAATCTTCCTGAATTTTGTTCAAACTCTGCCAACACTCAGCCTCAACACTGGCCTCCTAGAACTGGACCATAGCTGAGCTAACCCCAAACTGCCCTGCCCAGCCCAGCACCCAAGGATCTCTTCCCCTTCCACAGGGAAACGGGATTCAAAGCTACCAGCCTTGATCTCACAGTAGCCACAGGCTACCTGGGAGTGGACTAAACTCACACACCAACCTACATAGTCCCTTCAAGTTGCAGTAAGAGGAAAGCAAAAGGACAAATTTCTGGAGCTACAGGGATGGCCCGTGAGCACATCTTCCCCCAGAGACTGCTCGTAAGGTCCAAGGAATAAAACAGTCCACAGTCCTACAGAAAGCAGCCTGATTCCTGTCCGCCTTCATTTTCATGTAATAAATATTGATATCACACCTGTCACATGCCAGGAACCATTCTAAATGCGTTATAAATTCGAGTCACTTCATTTAAATCTTACAACAGCAGCACCCTGAGATGTGAGCTCATGTTTTCTCCACTTTGCAAATGAGAAAACTGTAATATGCACAGAAAGGTTCGGTGGCATGCCCGAAGTCGCACAGTCAGTGAGGGATGGAGACTGGATTCCAGCCAGGGTAGTGTGCTTTCAGCCCCGCTGGCCCTGCTCACAGTGGCAAGGCTGCCATGGGGGGGGGGGATCTGAAACCCAACCCCCACCCCCGCCTCATCTGCCTTTCAAGACTGCACACAGTACTCCTCAGGGCAAGCTGAGCATTTGGTCTCTGTGCCCACCATCCAGCCCCTGGCCTCCCTACATGCCCCAGACTGACACAAATCATCGTCTGAGGCATTTATCCATTAGCTAGACTCCAGAGAAGCATGTACCCGAGGTATGGCCCTGCCTTCAGGGACCATCAGAGCGGCAGGGGAGATAGACCCCTCAGTGACTCGTGGGAAGTTTCCCCTGAACAGCATACTGGGAGTGCAGAGTGCTGGAAAGCACTGGGTGAGGGCAGAGCTGGCCTCCTAGGTTGGGAAAAGCATCTTAGCTGCAAGCTGAGGAGACACAGTAATGAAGGAGGTGGGAAGGGCCCAGGCAGGTGCACTGGGACAAAAAACAGTTTATTGGGTTGTCCAGGAACCAGGGGGCATGGAGCTATGGGAGGCTGTGTACTATAAGCTGGTGGACACCTTGACCCAGCCTCAGGAAACAGTTTGACATGCACATGGTCCACAGCCTAGTAAAGGTGTCTCAAAAGGACAGTTTTCTAGAGAAAACCTCACATTGTGCCTGGGGGACTCCCACATGGATGTTCAAGAGAACCTGGGGCTGAGAGCACCCATTCGCCTCAGCAACACACAGGACAACCAAACAGCAGCTAGACACATGCACCTCAATGCAGAGAGGCAACAGCGGCCAGTGGGGTTGGGAACTGGCTTAGTGGCATGCTGCCTCACAAGCATGAAGACTTGAGTCCTGGAACTTACATAAAAGCCAAGCCCTGGTAGAGAAGAGGAGAGACACATGGATCCCTGGGGCTCGATGGCCAGCCTGGCTAGTTGAATTAGTTACCTGCAAGTTCAGCGAGAGACCCTGTCTCAAAAAATAAGATGGAGGGTGACCATCATGCACACACATACACACTTGCACTCACAAACGCATGTGCCTGTGCACACACCAACACACACACACACACACACACACACACACACACACACACAGCCTCAGCAACAAGGCATGGGTGAGATTTAAAGCATTTTTTCACATACTTCAAGTTCAAAGATGGAAGCTATTTAATACTCTTTAAGAATTCATAAAAGTGGTGACACCATTTTAAAATAAAGGGAAGGCAATTGTTAATCTGAAACCTAAGATCATGGTTAACTCTGGGTGGGGAAAAAGGATGTCATTGGAAAAATCACACTGGGCATGGAAGGTACTGGCAAGGTCATTCTTCACCTTTTGCAGACATATTTTATCTACTTTTCAGAAGTCTGTGTACATCAGTTTAGAATTTTTGGTGTTTCATTAAAATCTTAGATCTGTTTTAGGCTTACAGAAAACTTGCACAAAAGTACTACATTCCAGTACTCTCCAGGCTCCGCATGTGGTCCTGGGTAGACACCCTCAACTTTGTGCCTTTGAGAAGAGTCTACTGAAGCCTAGTGTGCAATCTGGTGAGGCCACTGTGGGCTTTGCTGCATTTTCAGTGTCCCACGGACACTGTCACAAGATCACACTGCACAGTGGCATGTCTTAGCCTTCCTCCTTGACAGCCAGTGTCCACCCTTCCCTCCCCACAATGCCACACTGCTGGAATCGCCCAGTCTGCGGCCTACTCACACAGTTTCTTCCACATGGTAATATGCATCTAAGGTTCCTCCGTGTCTGTGCACAGCTCAATTTCTTTCTGTGGGTGACAAACCCTCTACTTCCTGGCTGGGCCACAGACTGTGCATCCTTCCCATCTCTGATAACCATTTTACT